ATATATATATATATCAGACCTTCAGACAGACCTACATACTTTTCCTTGTACTTGGTGGAAGTTATACTTTGTTGCTTCCCCATTAGTTGCAACATAGCCTATGTTTGTTTGTTTTAAATGAGAAAGATTCAGTCATTTGATCGACCCACCCAGCTCACTCATGGCCCAAATGGTGTCTAACAGAGCAGTTGCCTAGAGAAATTCAGATAACATCCTTTATTTAGTAGAGGTAGAATTTCAGGCCACGCCTTTCGTATCCAGGGCCAAGTCATCACTCACCTCCAAAATTTTACCAAGAGGTGGGCAATTCCCACCCTCCATTTCCTTTTCCCTTTCTCTTACTGTATGCTATTCAAAACCAGAGATGGTTTTACTCTCCTCCCACCCCCAAACCCTTAGATGGTTTTTCTATGTAGCCCTGGCCATCTGGAACTCACTCGTCCTATTTACACAGTGCACAAGGCCACGTCCATCATTGTGAAACAGACTGTGTATGATGTAGAGACCAAGTTGGCCTCATTTGTCTCTGCCTCCCAAGTGCTGAGATTAAAGGTGTGTGCTCCACCGCAACCTGGCTTACTCTACACTCTGGTATGGTAACAGCTATGGTTGTTTCCACATCTCACCTTTCACAAAGCATCCAATGTCTCAGTTTTGAGGAAGGGGATGTCTTTTCTTTAATTCAGGATTCAGAGGGCATAACACAAGCTAGGAGATAATTATTATTCCAAGTGGTCATTTTGCAGCAATATTGCAGCAGTGCAGCATCTGAGCCACAAGTCAGGGTACCCTGGGATGGAGTTTCTGCTGTGGCTTCTGCTAGCTCTGGGGCTTACCCTGCTACTTTACGCATGTTACTTCATCTTTGAAGCCTGTTTTCACCTGAGAAAAATAGGTAACAGCAGAAAGTACCTTGAAGAGTTGAATGATTGTTAGATGACAGATTTGGTTCTGAAAACTTCCTGGTTTAAGGAGAAAAACAGTAACAAAAAGTTTTCCAGATCATGAGAAGCAAAGCGACCTGTGTTCAGTCAAGGGTGGTAAATACTTCTTCCCTGACTCTACTACCTCTGCATGAACTTAAAGGTAAACAGACCCTGTCATGGGCCTCACGGTGAAGTCAGCAAGGACTTTCCCCTTCCAGCTGCTCCTGTGCTTTCAGTTCCTGGAGAGATGCCTTTACTGTGGAGACCGCTTCACATTCAGAAGCCCATTCTAGAAGCATCCACCAACAGTTGCTTGCAGTGATTAAACTAAACTGGGATTATCTGGCTCTCCAGCAAGCCTCTACATTCAGTAGTACCTTCCATGGCAGATTGTGTGATGACTGTGAAATACAAGTAGCTATGGTGCTTGTGTCCTTTGTCTTGCTGTTTGTATCTGGATAATGTAGCAAAGACACCAAGTCTCAGTGGACTTCAGACGCCATGCTCCACATTGCTTTGTGATGACTTCTTCAAAGGCTTGCCTAAGAAAGGTGCAATCTTGTTACCACCAGACCCTTCCTGCAGCAAAACCCCTCCATGTGGCATGGTCAGCTTCCTTCTAGCCCTCTACCTCCCAGCCACTGGCAGGCAAAAGAAGGCTGCTTCAGTCCTGTTTCCCTGGCCTTCAACCAGCACCTTCATAAGGCAGTAAGGCTCTTTCACTGATATTTCTGATCATTCTAACTAGCCAGATACATTTAACTTAGTTTGTAATAAGCACATGACTCAAAGTTACCACTTAGAAACAGGAGTAAAAACTCTCCTTTCCCAGACTGCCTCCCCAAATCTGCCTTCCCTTCCCCAACAGTGCAAAAATGTATTGCTATAATTTATTGTTCATGTGTTCTGAAGTTCTTCACAGACAATAAGTACAAATAATAAAGTCATTTCATGGTTTTGCCCAAATATACCACTTATACACATTTTCCTATATTTTTGCTTTGTGTATTTTTGTAGGGGAAGCTTGTCCTCATTCTCTTCAGCAGAATCATGGTCCCTTATGTGAACATGGCATGTACCAACTTCTGCTGATCTGGCAAATTGTAAGAGCATTTACCAATCCACCCAGCAGTGTCCAGTACACAGGAACAATTTCCTGCTTCCTCAGCAGTCTGTGAGTCTGTGTATTTGTCTTAATTAAACCTTGAGGTGTTACCTAATAGGTTAAAACAGCATGTTATTTAGTTGTAATCTGAATTATTATAATTATGAATGAGATTAAATCTGTTTCATTCCTATGCAAATGGTTTATGTCTTTTGGTCATATTTCTATTAGTCTCTTGTAATAGAAATATTCAGTATTTAATGCTAGTTCTAACTCTTTAACAATTTCTGGTAAACAAGGAATTCATTGGAATGAATGTTATATGTTATGGAATTTCCATTACATTAAAGGCATAGTTCATCATATCGAACAGCAAAATTCTATGAAAATTTCACCATTTGAAGAACCAATCATCAAAAAATTTTAATGAATTAATTTTAATTCTCAAATAATTTAAAATTCGCAGAAAGCATGGCAAAATAAAAATAGCTGTGACCAACTCGTGCAACCTCAATTCACAGTGTGAGACATGCAACAGCAAAACAATGCAGCCATTTTACACCAAAAAGAAACAGTAATCTTCATGTTTCTCCTCTCACTCTGCCACCAACCTAGGCTTTTAAAATGCACGGTTGGCTCTTGCTTCACAGTGTTCAAGGGTCTGTTTCTTGTTTGTTCAGCCATGCGGTTAGCCTGAACACAAAGAACATACAGCGGTTGATTTCTACCTGGACAACGATCCAGGCACAGCTGCTGTACCTCTGATTTTCCAAGTAGTCGTGGATCCTCCTGAAGTATGATTTAATCTGTAGCCTAAGGCTCTGCGCACTCAGGCCGCCACTCTTCGACTCTGCTTTTAGTCCAGCTAGCAACTCCACGTATTCCAGCTGTTGGTGAAGTGCACCTAAGACTCTCTCTATATGGTTTTCCTCCCAAATGCCCCGAGAAACATGTGCCTGGAAGAGGCTGAAGATCTGCTGAAGGAGCTCGTGCAGAACAGCCAGTACATGTCCCTTTTGGTACTGGTGACGACTCACAGACTGCCAAGGAAGCTGGAAATTTTTCCTGTGAGCCAGACACTGGTAGACCGACGAGATTGGCAAAGTTTTCAGTAGGTGCAAGCTTTCTCTCTTCATTCTTGATTGGAAGAGAATCGATTTCGGTTCTAGGGAGAAGACAGTGGAAGAAGCCAACAGCAGCAACACCATTTCAGGGAGCTGTTTGTGAATCATGGTGCAGGACAAAAACCCCGATGTCTGTGCTTACCTTGTAAAACCCCAGTTCTAGGAAATGTTTAGCTTTCGTGTAGTGCAGATTATGATGGAGGGCATTCTTTCCATTGCCTCTGTTTCCTTGTTTCTCATTTCCCCAAGTATATGTCTTAGGTTTTCTGGTTCCCACTTCAAGGTTTTTATAGAACATTTCCTTTACTTTCCCCATTGTGTTGGCTCTTTGAGGAAGTAATGAAAGAGCTGGCCTCACTGTACACTTTTCTTGAGACAATTAGAGTTGTTCAATCTGATCTTCTACTACCCTCATTATTTATTACACACAAGGTTTCACTTAACACAATGCACTTTCTAAATGTTTAGTCAGGCTTAGTAATGTTCTTTTATTGAGAGTAAGCTTTTTATTTAAAGCAGTATTATTTCACGGAGTATTAGTTATCAAACCCTTAGCAGTACCTAGACAACACTCTTTTGGAAGCAAACACTAAAATCCAGAGGCCAGTGACTTTGAAACTTCAAGCAGAACTGCAAATGTGCACAAGTATTTGGGCAAATTAATCTGAATCAACAGTCTTGGACTGTCTTATATCTCATCCAATCCATTTGACATCTAATATTTTAGCTTGTAAAATAAGATAAAAGTAAAAATTATCAAAATAATGTGGCTAGAGTCTCATGAGAGCACAGAGTGTAAACAGCTTACAAGTTCAATATAATGGCTACAAACGTATTGGTTCCTCTATGAACAAATGAAACCAGTAAGTGATAAAGTTATTTGTGAGAAGAGTCGGAGGCAGTCGGTGGTCCATTTTCCCTAGGCTAGCTGCAACAATGGTTAAACCAATGAGAACATCTCTACAACAGTAAATGCCTCTTGAATTACAAGTATCCAGTTCCACGTTGCTAAGATCCTCTGGAGTAAGTCTCCAGCCCTACCTTCTTACTATCACACAGTTGTAGTAAGTGTAGTTGAGGAAACCAGACTCCAGAGGAAGTAAGAGACTCAAAAGACTCTGGACCTCCATGATGGGGGATGTCCTTCTGTATATATGTTTCTCTTATTGCTTGATAAATAAAACACTGATTGGCCAATAGACAGGCAAGACGTATAGGCGGGGCTACCAGACCAGGAGAATGCTTGGTTGAGAGGAAGGAGAGAGAGGCCGTCAGGAGGGGCCGCCAGGAGGAGACCCCATGTAGATACCAGGGAGATAGGATGCTCCAAGTATTCTCTGGTAAGATAAGGCCATGTAGAAATACACAGATTAATAGTTATGGGTTAACATTTAAGAGAGGGCTTGCCAGTAAGAAGCCCTCACCATCAGCCAACAGTTTTATAATTAACATAGGGTCCATGTGTTTATTTGGGGCTGAAGGGTGGCAGAACAGAAACTTCTGCCAACATCCATGTAACACAACTTGTGTGTTTGCTGATGATCCTTTCTCCTGAAGCATCATACACCTTTCAGTCTTTAATGTGGAACTTTGGGGAAAGAATATTAGCCGGTAATATTAATTGTATTAATTTATTTGCTCTAATAAATAAAATTTAACTTTCAGTAGCTTATAATTCATTCTAAAATTAACTTGAGTTAGCCTATTTTTGTGGCTTGGATGTGACCTGTCTGCTTTGTGTTTGGACATTTGCTCTCCGGCTGGTGGTACTATTTTGAGGGAATAAGGAACCTGAGACTTGGAGTCTGTTTGCTGTATCCAGCCTACCATCAGCAGGCCTTGGGGATTATAACCTGGCTCCACTTCCAGCCCCTTCTCTATTTTTAAGCTGCCAGGATGTGAGGGAGCGGTGTTGCAAACTCTGCTACCACCATGCCTCCTCACTGCAGTCCCTTTCCTGAGGATGGATGGCATCCTCTGAACTGTGAGCAAACATAAGTCCTTTTCTAGCTAAATTGCATCCATTGCTGTCACCATGAGAAAAGCAACTAACATATCTATCTATCTCTCTATCTAATAAAAACAATGTATGCTGATGCCATGTGATATTTTAATACATGTACCAAATCAGGGTAAACAAGTCTATCTTCTCATTCACTATTTGTTTATGGCAAAAACATTCTAAACAAGTTCTCAGCAATATCCATTGCTATTTATAGCCACCCAGCTGTTTACCACACCAAACCGCTTGCTCCAATCTAACTGTGGCTCAGTAGCTGTTTGTCAATCTCCCTCTAGTTTTTCGATTCCTTGCTGTAGTCAGCTTCCCTAACCACTGTTCTATTCTTTATCTCTCCGAGATCAGCATCTTTAGCTTCCACATATGAGGGGCTTGGCTCTCTGTACCTGGCTTATTTCAGGTGGCATAATTATCTCCATTTCTATCCATGCTGTTATAAATCTTTTTAAAAGTGATTTAAACATCAAAAAAATTTACTTGTGTTGGGGTGGTAAACAGAGGTGCCTGTGGAGACCAGAAGAGGGCATTGGATCCCTGAAATTGGAATCACAGGCAATTGCGAGCTGCCTGAAATGTGTCTTGGAAACTGATCTTGGGTCCTCTCCAAAAGAGGTGTGTATTCTTAATCGCTGGACCGTTTCTTTAGCACCTCCTTCTGTTTGTATAAGGTCAAACCATTTCATGTTGTACTTACAATGTGTTCCTTATTCATCCATCTGTTGGTGGGGACACTTGTTTCTATTGTAGGGCTATTGCAATTTCACACTAAATATGGGAATGAAGATTCCTCTTCAACAGACTGATTTTATTTTCTCCAGATCTATACCCAGTAGTAAGATTACTGAATCACATGGTAGTTCTACTTTCAATGTCTTGAGGAATCCCCAACTGTTTTCTATTATCATACCAATTTATATCCCCACCAACAGTGCTAAAGAATTTGCTTTCACAAAAATTTCCTTCAATTTACAATAATGATCTAAAGTTATATAGATTTGTAAACATTTGGAAATTTTCCAGATAGTTTTGTGTTACTGATTTCTGATTTGAATGTTGTGATTAAAGAATAAAGTTTGAGTTTATTGGTTTTATGTGTCAGAGTATCATCTACCTTGGTGATATTCCTGGTGAACTTGAGATAATTCTACTTTTTTTTTGGTTTTTTGAGACAGGGTTTCTCTGTGGCTTTGGAGGCTGTCCTGGAACTAGCTCTTGTAGACCAGGGTGGTCTCAAACTCACAGAGATCCGCCTGCCTCTGCCTCCCTAGTGCTGGGATTAAAGGCGTGCGCCACCACGGACTGGCTGAGATAATTCTACTTTTATAGGTGGCTCTGTTCTATGAATGTCAGATAGGTTCCTGTGGTTTGTAGTGTTGCAAATTTCCACATTTTCCTGATGTTGTGTTCTGTCAAGAAAGAAGTCTGAGAGAGAGAGAGCCTGCATGAATGTGTGTGTGTGTGTGTGTGTGTGTGTGTGTGTGTGTGTGTGTGTGTGAGAGAGAGAGGGAGGGAGAGAGGAAGAGACAGACAAAGGCTTCCCCTACAGATATCTTGGTATCTCCAGCTGTGGTTTTAGATTTGTTCCTTCCATTTCAATTATATAATGTGTTTAAAACTGCATTATGCATAACATGTTTTGGGTTATTATGTAATATTGATGAGCTGACTAAACTGAAATGTTTTTCATTCTTGTTCTTATTTGTAATCATCTTTTTCTGGCAAATATTTATGCTTTGTTTTGATTAATGTTTGCATGATTCTCTTTTTGTGTGTTTTTCTTGTAAGTGTCCCAATGGGCTTATATTTGAAGTGATTTTTATTGTGTAGTATATACTGGGATGATCTGGCAGCCTTTGATTTTTCATTTTTGTGTTTGTGTATGTATGGTGTGTGCATGTTCATGTTATAATGAAGTTTTCTTGTCTTCTCTTTTATTTCTTTCATTTTTTAAAAACAGTGTCTGGCTATGTAGTTTAGTCAGGACCAGAACGTTACCAAAATCCAAATGGATGATAATATAAGAAAATATTATTTTACCTAAAGCACACTAAATCCAGACAAAAGAAAATACAGATTAATATTACAAAAATATTCCTCTGTATGTGACTTTTTCAAATAACAACCTAATGAACTATCTCCCAGAATCACTAACTGTTACATAGACACAGCATTGGAAATGCACACTTGATTGGGATGATTGGGAAAATACACTTGATTATGTAAGAATCTATTGTTTCCATTTGCTACATACACGAACTTTGTCTTTTTCTTCAGAAGCTCAGATTTCTCTTTTTCCAAAGCACTGCTTTCTTCATGGTATCAGGCCTGATAGTGGTTTGGGAGGGGTCCATTGGCATCAGAGGAAGAGACTAATGAACAGGCTTGTTTAGAGAACTCAGATCATGTATGGGTATGGGGTACCTGATCTACGTAGGTAGCATGAGTACTAGGGGAAGAAGCTGAGTGTGGGCACATGTACACATATTCTTGCATGTATGTGCATAGAGGACCATGTCTGATATTCAAGGACCTTGAAAATGGACTTAACCAGTTGCCCAGTGTAAGGACTCTTAGGAGAATTTGCTACACACTTAACCTGCATCCAGAGAGGAACAGTAGTAAGGTGTCCTGATGCAGAAAATGGTGTTGTTAATATTACTGAGTATGTCAAAAACCTTTAACAAAAATACAAAATTAATGATGGTATTTAGCTACTGTGAATTTTTATGTCCTTAAGTTAAATTAGTATATAAGTATATATATTCACTTTTATATTTCTATGAATTATTTATCATTACCTTTTATCCAAAAGAATACTGATTTTTATTAAAATCCTAATACTCTCTGTATTTACAATATATCAAAACATAGTTCTGATTACTGAGAAATGCATTTAAATTCAACGAAAAGATGGGGGCATAACATGAGGTACCTGGCGTCTAGTGTCTGCTCCTTAATGGGCAAGTAAAACAAGGAGTTTTTAGCAACTATGAAACTGGGTGATACCATTAACAGAACACATGAATTGACTCCAGAGCAGTCACTATCCCTTTGACACATAGTAAGATCCTTATTAGTTAACACTTTG